AATTTTTTTTTACTACTGGTTCTGTGGGCGTGGCTTGGTGGGCGTGATGGGGCTTGGTGGGCTTGGCAGGGGAAGGATACTGTAAAATCTCCATTCCCTCCTCACTCCTGGGGGAAGGTTACTACAAAATCCCATTCCCTTCCTACCCCACTAGCCTGCTTTCCAGCTCCGTTCTCCTGTGCAGGGCAACAAAAGAAGGCCCAGCTGATCAGCTGGGACTCGGGAGGCAGAGAAGAGATGGGGGCAGGGCCAGTCAGAAGTGGTATTTGCCGGTTCTCTGAACTACTCAAAATTTCCACTACTGGTTCTCCAGAACTGGTCAGAACCTGCTGAATACCACCTCTGAGATATACTGTAATTCAGTTACAGGAAAACAATAAAGAACCCTCAAATTTACAAATCCAGCATTCTCAAAAATAGTAAATCTGTAGCTTTTCTGAAGAATTAGTACTAACACATATCTAAACACAGATATGTGTGCAAAGATATCTTGCAAGAAAGACAGCAACAACAAATACAGTATGTTCAGATAAAAAACAGGTCTCTGATATCATCTTTAAGGATTTTAAAAAATACATTTTTATTTTATTTTAATAACATGACATCCTCAAGGAGAACATCTTTGCATTTGGACATTCGCCTTAGAAGTTTAAAGGTAGAAAGTATCCATAAAGAGATAATACAAAGGAGAGATGTACTGTATTACAAGAGGTTAAGTCTACTTTTCTGCTTTGAGTTCTTTACTCTGCCACAGATGCAGAGTGCTTCTCTGTTGAAGACACCTGAGTTTTATTTATTAAACAAATTTTATAGCCCTTGTCAATTCAAATACATTAATGGGGGAAAGTCTTTAGTCTAATTTATATTATTATAATCTGCGGTGGAGGAAGCAAATAGCCTCTGATCTGGTCCTTTGTGGCCTCTTTCCTAATCATCTACTACTCTGGCCTAAGACAAAGCCTTGGGGGATGCAGGCAATCTCTTCTCTAATCACAAATTACCGGGATTGATTCCAAAAAGCAATTCTCTAGGAAATGAGAGAACTGCAAAATCTCCAGGAAGGTGGATACATTTTGGGTCAAAAGCAATGATGATTGGAAACTGTTGAGACCTGATAGAGGTACACTGAATTCCTGCTATGAATAGCTTTTTATTCAGTATATTTTGTATATTTTAATATTTTTTTTCTTTTTTCAATCTACAACTGTATATTCTTTTATTCCTAAGGAGCTTCTGGTGATATAACCTACAAAAATATATATTACAATTGTTAATGCTTAATCATTTTCACAGTAGGCGGCTGATGGACAAGTGAGACTGAGAGACGGAAACGTTTCCAAGGCCATAAAATTAATGAGAAGGTATTAACATTTGAAATGGAAGCTATGATAACAAATGGAGATAATAGAAAAGCTCACTTGTGTTCTTGTGAAAAGTGGCACAGATTATAGCAAGATCCTGGAAACAGATCACTGTAGCTTCTTTGAGTTCCTTTGTACATCAACAAAAGAATGCACAGGTAAATAAATCCAGTAACTTATTTTGTGGGAATTAAAAGTACAATGCAAAACACTAAGCCTATAAGCAAATTTTCTTTGCATTTTATCCTGAAAGCATAGTTTCAACTATGCCGATTCTTTTTTTCAACTTTTAGAAATATGAATTTTGGCTGATATAATAGACTACAGTTATGCAATCCTAACTAAAAAACAGAATCTATTTATTTGCAATATTTATTTAGTACCAAATTAAAGTATAACTTAAACCCCAAATTCAGGAAATTAAAAATGAAATTATCAATTTAAACAATTTAAATGGGAACAAAAATGAAAAATAGTGCGTGGCAGAAAAGCTGAGTCTTAATAAATGCCCTCTACTTGACAGATCTATATCAAGACAATTGTGTTTTGCTTAGGTAAGCTTCAGATTGTAGAATAAAGTCCCGCCCCCCTAAAGTGGAGCCCAAGTGGATCACAGAAACTAAGTTACACTATTTCTACAGTGATTTAAATTTAGGGTTTTTCCATGTATCTCCATTCAGAAGCTAGTCCTGTTATTGTCTTGATTGATGCTGATCTTGAAACTCAGAAAACATTCTCAACCCATCAACCTTTCCCTCCAGCTGACCAATAGGAAAGAGCAAACAAAAAAGTTATCTGTCCCACCCTTGAACTTTGCAGAACCTGCCAAAACAACCATTGCTTTTGCCAAAACTCCATAATACCTGAAATTAAACAAAATAAAATATTAGCAATCTCTCCCTGGCAGGTTTTCAATGCATGCCTGCTCGTTTGGTACCAGGAAAAGCTACCGGTACTTAGGTCTCATGCCATCACTGAGTATATAGTCCTCTTAGTGATATGTTGAAAAATGACAACTACAGAAGAGTGTGCAGTTGAGAAACAGGTAATAATTCTTATTTAAAGAAATACTATCCTAGGAGGCCTATTACTGGTACACTTTTTCTGTCACCATTCCATTTGAGAGTACAAGATGTAAGAGATTATAAGGCAGACACTCTTAGAAAAACCTATATAAGCATGGCAGGAATGGGATTTACTGTACAAAGTCCTGGAAAAAAATGCAGCACATTTAAAGCATTTTTTAAAAACCAAAGTTAGCTGGAAAATAACTAAACTCTCTTTTGTTTTCCAATTTGCTATTGTGGTAATAAAAGCCATGAATCTTGGATCCAATAGTCATCCCAAAAAAACTGATTTAAATATTTAGAATTCTTGATGGAATAAAATGTTTGCTTTTCCTCTCTGGGTTTGATTAGATAGTATAATTGGAATGCTAATTTCTTGCTTATTTATCCCTGTTACTTTAACAGAGTTTTATCCAAAAGGCACAGAAGGCAAAAAATAAACAAAAGTTGAAATTGTATAAAAATGTTACAAGTATTTATCAAAACCCAACTTTAAAATATATTTATTTTCCCTGCTCTGCGCAGATTCAGTTTACATGTTCCTGGCAGCTATTTTCTTCACTCAACAGAAGGCTCAAATTTGGGCAGAAAGTGAATCACAATCTGGACAGATTTTCTCTCTGCCTTTTTACACAACTGTCTCCTTTTACTTGGACTTTTAGAAATGGGAAAACAGAACAGCCGAGATCCCTGACTTCTTGGGTCAATCACTATTCCCATAGTACCCACCTACAGATTGTATTTGTGAAAAAGGAAAAGATGCCAGAATATGAATCAGATTTCAACTTTGGGCTGCCACTACTTTCATATTTGCCCTTAAGACTATTTCTGATGCCGAAGTAAACTACAGCACAGATTGAATACCAAGGAGAAAGTAGCAAATGTGCCTTTTCAAATTTATGTTCTCCCCATCTCTCTGTTAAATCAAAGAACCCAAAGTAGAAGGAGAAGCCAACGTTATAGAGCAAAAGTCTGGAAGGAAAGATTGCAGAAGAGCCATCCATTTTCTCACTACCTACTGGGGTAGGAACAGATGTGGATCTGGATTCCAGTCACCAGCTTGCTTTCTACACCCACTGAATTCATAATTTTATCTCCATACATATTAATGCTTTACATGAGGGATAACATTATTGTCAGACATGCATTTACTACCAACTAACATCAATATTACTGATCTTTTCTGAAAGGAACATGAGTCTACATTTTACCAAGGGGTCATGAAAATGCAGCAGGCACTAAAAGATGAGACAGATATACTGGATGCACAGAACACAGAGCGTGGAAAGAATTCCAATTTATGGAAAAGAACTTCAAAGACTTGTAAGAAGATCACCTATTATCTAAATGATTTATATAATCACTCATCTAACAATATATCTTCTTTATAATAGGAGCCTGAAAATAAAGTAACTCCACAAGCTATATAATTACAGTATTATCCCTTTTCTGTGAAAATGTAACATGTTCTTTCATATTTTATTATGTCAGTAGCAACCCATCCTCCATTCATCTATGCACATGTTTGAATGACTCTTCTTTCCTGATGAAAGATGAGCAGAAATTGCACTTATGAAATTATAAATCTTCCTTTGGTCTAGAAGTAATATTACCATATGTTCTCACAAGGGCTCCCAATGTATCTTAATAATTTCCAGTAATCATATTAATCTCTCAGCAAAATTATATCTATCTGTAAGACATTTAAAATAAAGAACAATAAAACAAATTTATCTTGACGCATGCTTCCTTGAGTAGAGGCCATGAAATTACTGCATTAATGTATGTACCCCTTGAAATACTTTGTGAAAAAAAATCAACAATAGAGAAGTTGGGTTTCCCTCCCTGAAAATTAAATACTTTAATGTAGAAGAGGATATTTAGGAAAGGTTTCATATAGTGGCAATCATAGCCTTAGCATATAAGGGTACACTCAAAAAAATGAAAAAGTATACTTTATTGAGGATGCTGCTATGAATGGCAACTCAAGATCAAATCCCCCCCCTATGATTATAGAACTATTTCCTTTTATTGTGATATTGTCAAAATTACACAAATAGACTAAAATTTCAGAATTTCCAGCCAATCATATCTGAAAAGCACCAAGTCAGGAGGAACAGATCTTCACATGGGAATTATATTTTTAGCAATGTGGTAATTAGTATTGAAATATAGGTAATGTGTAGTTTCAATGTCATGACAGGCAAATGTTATCCAAAGAAAGAGCGATCAACAAAAAGATTACATATGGTCAAATCATGTCATTTCAGAAGTGTGTTGTGACAAAGATCAGATTTGTCCCCGAGTTCTAAAACTGAACTCATCTGTACTACTAATGCTCAGTGAATTTCTCTGCTGCCTCTCTGATACTTGTACTGAAGATTTGGTACCAACAGAACAATTTTTATTAATAAAAATATGGCATTTTTGTTTTTTTGTTTTTATTTTTTTGTTTTTTAAATTGTAATAACTCTATTAAAATAGCTATCTCAACTACCCCTAGGAAATTGGTGAAGTCGCACCTAACCATAACTGTATATATAAAAGAAAGCAGAAAACAATAAGGACTCACATTATGTGGGCAGTACTCCATATCTTGATAAAACTTCAGTCCTCGAAGCATCTTGTCATGAACGTCCAGACTGCAGCACTTCGTCATCCCTGTTTCAATAGCTTTGTTGATCATATCCAGAGGAAAAGCACAAACACCCGAGTACCTCTGAGGCACTTTGCTGTCCTGCTGGCTTTCAGCAAACGCACCAAAGAGAACCAGTTCTCTTTCACTGGCACCGATTGCTTGAGCCAACTTGGCGCCAGGATTGGTAGCATGAGCTGCCTGCAGGACATTAAAAATGACATCCTTAGGCATTGTGCTAAGGCTCCTCTTCCGCTTAGATTGAATGCGACAATCCAAATTCAGCTCTCGGTACCTGCGAACCTCAATCTCTTCAGTGCTAAGTCGCACTATCCTGGTGTGGTATGAATTCGAAGTAGGATCTTCCCTTTGGACTGTCAAAAAATAGACAAACTTCTGGTATTTAAAGGAATACACATAGTGAATAGGGTATGTGTCTTGATACTCTGGCAGCACTGTTAAGGAGTGGAAAGATTTATCAAACCCATCCAAAGTACTCTTTAGTCTCCGTATTGACACGGATTTGGGGCTGTACGTGTCTGCGATGGTTGCATTGATGGTAGATGCAATATAAAAATATGAAGCATATGCCCTATCAACAACTACAACTCTTGTGCCTAAGGGACTGGCCACACAGTCTGGACATTCAGTAGGCTTGTTCTGCTCAGGTGAATACAGGCAGGAGGTTTCCCCAAGCAAAACGACGTCACCCTCCGTCTCAATCTTATGCTGGAAACAGATGCCATGTTGAGAACTTCCACAGCTGTAAAGCCAAGGTTCAACAGGATCCGTCACCAAAACTTCGTTGTCTGTGTTTTGAAAATCCACTGGCCTTTTCCCCGGACAGAGAGCACAGATCTCACACTCGGGACTCCCCCAGGGCCCCGTTATTAGCGTAGACAGAATTTTCAGTTCTGAGTTCAATGTGTAAACCTTATTCTGAACGGCAACAAAAATAACATTGCTAGGCTCATAGATAACCATATTCTGGATCGCAGACGTAGCTCTGAACGTAGGGAAGTCATACTTTACTGTGTAATCTCGGGTTAAGTTATAGGAGATATGTTGGCATTGCCAAGTCTTCCCAGTGATTCTTATGGGCAACAGTCCAAGGATTAAGCAAACCAGAAATGATATGCCCATACTAAGGAGGTAGGAGCAAAGCAGAATCCTGTTTTCAGAAGCTACCTCAGTTCTTCAGTTCTGTGTGGCTCAGCAATCCATCCAGAATACTCTACCATTGCATTACAGCTGAAAACAGGGAGAGAGAACATAGATGAGTGATGCTACAGGGGAAAAAGATGACATTTGTCTTTCCTTCTAACAGAATAACAAAATAACAGAGTTGGGAGGGACCTTGTAGGCCCAAGCAGGAGACTCTACACAATTTCTGACCTATGGCAGTCCAGTCTCTTCTTGAAAGCTTCCAGTGAGGAAGCTCCCACATCTTCTGAAGGCAAGCTGTTCCATTGGTTGATAGCTCTCACTGTCAGAAAATGTCTCCTTGTTTCCAGGTTGAATGAGAGATTCTCCTTGTTCAGTTTCCATCTATTATTCCTTGCCTGGCCTTCAGGTGCTTTGGAAACTAAATTGACCCCCTTCTTTCTGTGGCAGCCTCTTAAGTATTGGAAGACTGCTATCCTGTCTCCCCTGGTCCTTCTCTTCACCAGACTAGCCATGCCCAGTTCCTGCAACCATTCTTCATACGTTTTAACCTCCAGTCTCCTTTTTGCTGAGCCTTTCAAATAATTTTCCACCAGTTATCATTATGTAGCTGAAGGTTCAAACCACAAAGCAACCTATCACTAAAGTTCCCCCCCCCCCCCATGGAGGATTCTTTGATCTTACATCTAAAGGCTCACCAGTCTTGTGCAAGATTTATGTATTCTAGATGTAGGTTATCAGGAAGCAGTCATGCAGGGAGAAGCACTGCTGATGTTGGAAAGGGAACTGCACTCTAGGTAAATTTGCATTTCGTATCATCTCTATTTTTAGGTTGGTTCCAATCCCCTCTAGGCAATCTAGGTTGACAATCCGGGATACATGAAATAATCTAAGCTGCACAACCTGTCTGAAGATAGCTTGAGATAGACATTTATATCAAGGGAGGAAAGAAAAGGGTCTAGCCCCATGTATTCATTTGACAAAAGAAAAAAAAATACCTGGCTTAAGTAAGGGACTAACAGTTCATTGCTCAGAATAAGAATCTGTTTCACAGGCAGAGTTGGATTAAGAGGCATACTGTAGTTGTGTCTTACAGTTTACTCTACGGGTATCCCAAGAAGTTTGTTTTTTAAATCACAAGCTAGTAGGTTGAGCAGAATGAAAACTTGGCTAATGTTTTATCAGGAAAATAAATACACAGCTGCAAGCCATTGAGAGTTTGGGAATTGTTATAACCAGCACTTCTCTATAATTTTGATGATACAACTGGAAACTGAATTAATCACTAGAGTGTTTTTTTTACACGTTTTGTGGACACTAAAATCAGCCACCATCAGCGTGGCCGCTGAACCTCTTGGTTGTCCGAGATTTTCTCTCTGAAAACTTACCTTCCTTAACTTCACCAGGTTACCATAGTTTTGCGGCCACCTGATCTAGGGTAGAGAGGAAAGAGGGGTGGTCAAGTGCCGTCCTCCTTCGATTTTGTCGTCGCCCCCCCCCCCCACCTTCTTTCTCCTCGTCAAAGAAAACTGGTAAATCGAAGAAAGCGATAGGCTTTTAAGGCCCTTTCTCGTTCTTGAAAAAAAGTTTTTACAGCTTTTTTTAAGAAGGCCAGTGTTCTAAAAGAGAAAACCAGCCGCGTCTCAAAGAGGCAAGTGGAGAGTAACACGCGCTGGCCTCGAAAGCCAGCCTCGACTCCCAACAGTCCTCCCCACCCCAGCACTCCCTCGCCCGAGGACTCACCAGTCCACAGCCGTCGACGCGGAACCGAGGAGTTCAGCGCTCGGCACATACCTGGCTGGGCGGCTCCTAGGAATGAAGGCAGAACCGGGACGGGATCGGGCAGAGATTTAACCCGCCGGGCGGGGCCAAGGCAATTTCCCCTCCTCTTCCTCCTCCCCTCCACTTGGCACCTCCAAAAATGCCCGGGCTGCTCCCGTTGCACCGCATCTCTCCTGCTGGAGGCAACTTGGGACAACCTGGTTTAAAGTGTCCGGCTTTTTTTTGCTTAAGCGGCCATTGCTTTCCTCCTCTAACTCGGACCCGAGCAGGATCGCTTTCTCAATACGCTTCAGGAGCAAACTCGAGGTCCCGTCGTCTTTCGCCCGGAGTACGATTCTGAGGTCAGCAGAAGAACGTGCTTTAAAAGTATGAAGGAGCTGAGATTGCTTCAGACTCTGGGCACGCCCCGCTCCCCTTCCCTCCATTCAGCTCATACAGCATCTCGTTCAGAAACTTCTCCGGAGATTTATATCGAGGGCGAGGCTCTCAATTTCTATCGACTTCCTGGAATTGAGAGTTGGCGGGAACAAGCTATTTAATCTTCCATCTCTCTCCCCACCATTTTTTAAATAAAGTTTTATTTGGGTTTTCACACACACAAAATACAAGTAAAACATCTTTTTTTGAAAATAGCATGGTCCCGGGTTGAACTTCTTTATACAGACACAAAACTCAATTTCATGCTCCTTTTTGTATTCTATTCCATATCTTATACTATTTTACATTTTCTATATAGTTTTTCCCCTCTTTTAATATTCTCAGTTTTATTTTTATTATCTCAAATCATTTATCTTAAATCATTATATTTATACTTTTGTCTGTTTTGTTTCAATTTCATATTATCTTTTCTCATTAAACATTTTTTCTCCTGTAGTTACTAATTGGAGTATGACACCTTTATATCTTTTAATTACATCCATTCAACTCTTATTTAAACTTCAATATATACCTTAAGGTTATGACCTTCAATATAATACATAATACATAACTTCCAATCAAATTCTGCTTGGTACATTCTTATAATACACACTATATTCTTTAAAAAAGAAAAGAAAGATTGTAAATATATGTAATTATAAACCCTCATTCCATTCCAGTTCAGTTCTATCATTAATAATCATTAAAATCTTAACATCTTTAACACTTCTTTTCAATTAAATATCATACTTCCTTAAAAACACATATAACCTCCATAATTAATTTTTCCCTTATTTCTCTTCACATATGTTTTATAAATCATTAAATATACCTTTTGTTACATTTATTTATTGACAAGCATTCCACTGAATTACGATAGCTATTTTATCAGACATTTTAATCATACATTGTTTCATATTTTCTAAAATTATTCTGCTTCTAATATAACCATACTATTTTATGTACCTTTGCAGAATCCCTTTTTCCATTAAGTTTTCACCCATTATCTGTAAATAGGCCGTTTCTCTATATTTTGCTTCTGTCCTTTATAACTTCTTTTCCTTTCTTTCTTCCCTCTCTTCTTCTCCCTCCCCTTTTTACCCCCTTGTCTCTCTACTTCTAATTCTCTCCTCTGCATTTCCCTCTTCTGTTGCTTTCTGATTTTATACTTATTTTTCACTCTATTTTGGGGGGGAGTTGTTTTTCCCAATCTTAAACTCTCCATTCTCTTTCCCCCCTTTCCTTTTTTCCCCCCATCCAAGATTACTTGTTCATTAAAGATGGCTTCTTTGTCGCAATCTTCTTGTTCTGCAGGCATATCTTGTTGTTTCTCATAATTCCAAATCTCCATTTCTAAAAACTGAAATACAAAGCCAAAAGAACCTCTCCCTTCTTGTGCATCTTCTTTGTACTTTTTAAGTTCCATTTTCAGTTCTTCTAAAAGTGGAGCCATTTTAAACAGTTTTAAACAACCATCCGATTGATTTTAGTCATTCAAAACAATAACCAAGAATCCAGAAATCAAGTAATCCAGATAGTCCCGAGTTATATCTTCTTATTTCTTTTTTGACTTTCTCTTCCTAGGGTTTTTGTTGCGATATTTCAGTTAGAATGTATCTTTTGGAAGTCTTGTTGAGATTTTGCTGTAAGTTCTTTTTTAATTCCAGGCAGTCTCCTCCCTTCCAGATCCTACCCTTTTATTCTTTTTCTCTCCTTTCCTGTTTTCAAAAGCTTTTAATTATCCAGAAATCTTTATTATCCCTTTGACTTTTTATTTTCAGCATTAAATGCCTATTGATGTCAAAGTGGATTTTTTCCAATTTCTTGCTTAAGTCTCTTAGCTGTCAGTATAGGAAAAGGAGAAAACCAAATCTTTTCCCTTTTCTCTCTCCTTCACAGCTTAAAAATCTTCTTAGGGAAAATGTTATTGTTTTTTAACAGTTTCAATTCCAGGGTACCTTATTTGTTGCTTTTGCTGTTTGACCCGGTCAACCAAAACTTTCTCTTCTTATCTTCCTCCTGCACATTCTTTTCTGGTCGAGTTCTTCTTTGTGGTGGCCATTTCTGACCACCGCTGCAACCGCCTTCGGGAAAGGGAGTAATGGCCAGCTGGGGAGGAGAGATGCGGCTCTCCTCAACCCTGTTGGCAGTCTCCCCCTCTTCACCACCTCTACGGGGTGGCTTAGCCCCGAAACCAGCCGGCTCGGGGCGCTCCAGCGGTGAGCACCGATCGAAGCCTCGCAGACACGAGGTTTCGGTCTGTCGCTGAAGAAGCTCAAACCGGAAGTCCCTCTTCGCTGCTTCTAGCCCCAAATTTGTAGCATACTCTTCCTAGGCGGAGGGAGTAAGGCGGTTTCTTCCCTTGATGTTCAGATAAGCATGAGAAACACTGAGCTAACTAAGATGCAACACTTAGCTTTATCGATTTCCTGCCCCGCATTTTCACCAATCCTTCGAATTCCAGAAAATAGTCAGGTTTTCCTGCTGAACTGGTGACAGAACCAACCCATGTATACTTTATTCCATTTCACATGCTGTTTTGGAAGAGTCCTAACATTTCATTTGTCTTCAGTGTCCTCAAAAATTTCAGTGTCCTCAAAAGTTTCCTCCTCCCCTCCTGCTGTACATTTTTGTAAGCAAGTTGGGTCAGCAAGGGTATTATTACGCCATCGAAAAAGTATGGTGATGCAGCTAAAGAACCTGGGTGGGAAAAAGATGACAGGGCAGGATTTCTCACTGTCTGTGTTGAACAGCTAATATTCTTCTTCCCTTGTGGTTAAGATGAGCAGTAAGAGAAGCTGAAACAATTCTGAGGGTCATCTCCAATAACAGAAGTCCATTAAGATTAGTAAGTAAGAACCGACCCTCCCTTCAAGAAGCTCAAAATGATCAGGAAGTGAACTGGAAATGAGCTGAATCTCCTGGTAAATCTGATTGAATGATTTGCAGATTGACAGTGATTTCTAATTGCATCTTATTTGAAGGAAGCATCAGCAGGAGTGCAATAAGACTGCTGCAAATGAAGAAAATCAGAAACAGGGTTCCCCTCCCCCCACCCCCCAAAAATTACAAATTGTATTTTGAAATTCCTAGGCAATGCACCCTCGGAGATTCCCTTGTCTCAATTTCCAGTCAAGACCATAGTTGAATGCTTCCTAGAAGTATTTTTGTGTGTGTACCTTTACGTCAATGGAGACCGCCTACAACACAGATCCCTGAAGTTTTCTTGGCAAGATTTTTCAGAAGTGGTTTGCCCTTGCCTATTTCCTAAGACTGAGAGAAAGTGACTGGCTTAATTAAGGTCAGCCAACTGGCTTTGTGCCTAAGGGATGGCCTCGAACTCACAATCTAGCAGTTTCTGGCCTGGTGCCTTAATCACTACACTGGACTGACTCTTTTCCTGGAACCTGCTACTTATTATACACTTACATAAGTGCTTCCTGCTTTGGATACCATTCATTTCTATAGTGGAACTCAAGACTAAGCCTGGTAGCCTGAAAACTGCCAATGCCTTCCTTTGGCCAAACAGAACTGCCTTTCTGTCTATTATAGCTGGTCATGCTAATATTAATTGGGAAAACAACAAGGAGAGAATCATAGGGTTGGAAGGGACTTGGGTGGTCTCTTAATCCAACCTCCTGCCTAGGGCAGGAATCCTCATTATCTTTCCAGATGAATATATATTCTATCCAGACTTTTCCTGAAATCCTCCGTAGGTGGAACACCCACAGCTTCACTGGCTCTCACTTCAGGAAATTCCTCCTTGGTTCAAGTTTGGATCTCTCTGGATAAGTTTCCCCTCAGTGCCTTTGCTATGGAGTAAAGTTTGTCTGTGGCAGCCTTTAAAATATTTTCTATCTATTATGTCTCCTTTTAATCTTTCAAACCACCTTTAAAAACACACCTTGTTTAACTATTCTCCAAGTCCAAGAAGGAGATAAACAGTCTTTTTTTTTTTTTTAAACTCCTCCTTTTGCACCCTGGCACAGCCTAGTACGGAACTGTGTCAACAGCCAAAGTATGAACTTCAGAATCTGACTCCATATGGCAAGTGCTTGATGTGGGACAACTGTACTAAGTCGCCAAGCAAATATTGTCTGATTTGAAAAGGAAATAATTTGTCATGACGGATAGTTGATATTTATCATTTGCCAACAACTGAATTAGTCTGATTGTTTTACAACAGGGCAAGTAAACAACATGGTGACTTTGAAGGGAATTATTCTGTTTACAATGTTCATGGCTTTTTCTTCTTGTCTCTTTCATTTGCATTGTTATTAATGCTGGTGTGTGTGTGTGTGTGTGTGTGTGTGTGTGTGTGTGTGTGTAGAAGTGGTTTGTACTTTGTGTCCTGTTAATCAATTTGATATAGTAAGCAATGTTTGATAGGGAAATGTGCCTAAAAGGATATGAACTGCAGTATAAAGGTAATCACTACTTCCTCGGCACAAATACTTACATGTTCTTTTTCAAATATGGAACTGATTAGAGTATAGGCAGTAAGTGGGGAGAATTGGCCTTCCAGCAGGTAGCATGAACATGCACAAGTGTGTGTGTGTGTATGCACATGCACATGTGTGTGTGTGTGTGTGTGTGTATGTGCATGCACACA